TGATGAAAACCAAACGTATGTTTAAAGGAGGCTTTATGTGTGCAAAAGTCCCCCCAAAGTTGGGCGCCGACTCGAACCTCCCCAACCCAATACTAACTTCGAGCCTAACGTTTGCTGATTAGGTTGTCCCATGATTTGTTTTAAACTGTAATTCTTTCAATTAAATTCAAACTTTCTCTTTTTATTTCCATCTCTTATATAAAGTTCATCTCCATCAGCTAGCGATCCACGAGAAGCGAAATTGATGGTGGAATTGCGAGCGACGAGTTTCCAGCTACATACAAAACCGACTTAAAGGTTCTCACCGCAAAGCTGAAATTGGCTGGTTTGAGATTCTTTTTATCGGAAATATTACCCTTTTTCAATCAACTAATCATTAACCTATTGTCATTTTACCTTTGGGTAATCGAACTCCCAGTGGAGTAGAGAATTGGACCCTGGCTCTGAGGATCTCCAATTCTTCGTCACAACCACTTCACACTTGAGAGTTCAAGGAAACGATACCGAGTTCAAGAAATGGCTGATCAAAGTGGATAATGGAAAAGTGGAAGCCGATCAATAAGGAGATATCGCGATTCCCATTTCCTGTGATGGTGATTTGGGCGAGGGATCTTTCGCCAAGCTATTTGCCGATGATGGTCATTTTTGGATCTTTCTTAGGTCGCTATCCTCACACCGCAAAACGTCAGGTGATTTCCAGATTAACGATAAGCATTTTGGACCGGAATCTCGGCAAAAGGAAACAAAAGGAGCTGTTTCACTGTATAGATTTTGTTTGTAACTTTGTAACTATATTTTCCTTTTATAAATCAACTAATCAATTAACCCATTGTCATCTTACTTTTTGGGTAATCGAACTCCAGTGAGTAGAGAATGGGACGTGGCTCTGAGGGGTCTCCAGTTCTGCATGATCAGCCACTTTTCCCACGGACACTCGGAAACTGAAAACCGATTTACATTTTTGGGAAACCATCGTAACCCATCGTACTCTACCAGCCACTACTGTAATCTTGTCTTTTTCTGTCCAATCATCTACTCGCTTATTTTGTTTTTGTACTTTTTGTACTACATTTATTTTGAAGGATATCGAAAGATGCAAAAAGTGAATCAGATTCACGATAACAATAAGAAACAAGATTAGGTTTGTTTTTCAAGGGGTGGCACCTTTTCGAAACCGTATTATTTGAGAGGAACACATTAATCGGGTTGCGGTGAGAAACACTCACCATCCCTCAATTTTACTGAAGTGAACGAGGCGATGAACTCGGGAGCTGTTGCTTGTAGCTGAAATGTTAAAAATTTTGCAAATTATTGTGGGATTCAGTTATCCTTAAAGTAGATTTTAAAGTTCTCACGTAAAGAAGGCAAAACCTGAAGCGAACATAATCTGCCGGCACGATGAACTCAAGCTTTTTCTAAAAATTACCAATGATTCTTAAAACTCGTGAGCAACTGATGCGACAGCAACAATTCGTAAAAATTAAACAGCTATTATAGGAGAATTTTGCATGCCGATAGCGTTTTTTGTTTCGAGAATTAAAACTTTAAAAAGCCGAACTCAAGGAAACGGTTCCTCTACGTAAATATCGGAGAACACTGAGATCGTCATAAAGTATCCCGGGAATCATCTTTTCGAACTTTAGTTTCACTTTGATATAATTCCGAAGATCGGACTCATTCAAATCTGTCTAAATCGATCATTAAATGGGTTAGATCTATCTTTTATTCATTTTACTTGAAATTACGATGAAACACAGCAATTCTTTGATTCAGGGGTGATTTGACCAGTCTAGGACTATTGGCGGTGTCACTAATGAGGACTTTATAGTTCTTTAATTTTACCGAGAGAGGTTATACGGAACTCTACAAAAAGGATAGACGTAAATGCTGGCTAGTCAAAAATCAGCCAGCTCCAATTAGTCAGCTTTTAAAAAGCGACAAACAAGTAATGTTCTTTCCGGATACCCCGCCAACTCCAAAGAAGCCGATCTGTTATGATTGTTACGGAAAAGAAGTAAATTCAGCAATCTGCCAAAAAACCTCTGAACTCTAAAACCACCGACACAATTCCGAAGATTGGACTCATTCAAATCGGCCTAAATAGATCATTAAATGGCTGGTAGGATCATCTTTTACTCATTTGCACTAGAAATTCACTATTAAACACAACATTTCTTTGTTCAGGTAGCTTTTACTCAGGGTCGGCCCGATCTCCAGGACTATTAGGTTGACAATGGGGACTTCATAATTCTTTGATTTTATAAAGTATAAGGAAAGTTAGCTATAAATGATGTATTAAAGCGACCGGTTACTTCTATTTTTCAATATCCTCTTTGGGGGTCACTCTAATAAAGTTAACATTTACAGTAGGTTGTTATACATTTTAAAAATCCTTGAATCAAGCTCTAAAATACGGACCAAATATAATCTTGTTTGCTTTTAAATAAAGAGTTTCATGCAAGTGGTTTGAAGAGGTAACGAGGGATGGCACAGGAGTCAGCTAAAAGGATTACTCTTTGAGCAATAGCGATTCTTGGAGCTAAGTTGAAAGGAAAGAAGAAATAGTAATGTGGATATTGTTACGGGGAAGAAAAATATAGCAAACTATCTTTAGTATTCGAAAATTTTTTTAGAAAAACAAAGATTTTTTCCGCTTTCAAAAAATGAGTTTCAAATTACTACGTCAAGCTGCCTTCTTTCATAAGTGTCTGGCGTTCGAATAGCTTAGTTAGCAGTAAACAAAGCAGAAGTTGGCAGCAGACAAAATTCAGGGCCAATATTTTAGAGCTTCATTCAAGCATTTCAAAAATGTAGAAAAACCTATCCCACTCTCCGGGTATACTTTGTAAAACTAAAGGAACGATGAAGTCCGGTTTCATTATCGCTAACCTAATGAATTCAAAAGGTAAGTGATTCAGGTCAAGATCAGAACTAAATCTTACGCTTAAAATGCAGAAAATTATTCAGCCGATGCTTAAGTCTTTCTCGTTCCTTTTCGTCTGGGGTGGTTTCAAGTCAACAAAATGGTAATTCGACGAACTACGTTGATTTCATTAGAAAAAGCAAATTAGTTTTTCTGCAAAATAACATTAAACGCTTTAAAAATATTTTATGCCTGGATTCTCTTGAGTGCTAAAAGTCGGGTAGTCAAAAAGGGCGAACTCTCTGATGATGTGGTTTAGAGACTATTGGTGTTGTTGTCCATCTTCGTGTCAATAGATAAAAAAGATAGAGAAAAAAAGTTTGATATTTCGCCGTACTTTCAGAGAAATTCATTCAGCCAATTTTTCCGTAGAGTTTTTTATAGATTTTAAGCCAAAAGGCGTTTTCACTCTCGAATTTGCTTGAAAGTGAACCGAAATTCATTTAAAAAGATGCAAATTGAACAAAAAACACTTTTTTATAGAGCAAACTATAGATTAATTCGTGAATTTCCACTTTTTAACAGAAGTACGAAAAAACGAAAAGAATTTCTGCATCAACCTCCAATAAATGTAAAAACCTTGTGGAGGAATTCGCAAAAATTTGATGAACTTGTGTTTAGAAGTAATTAAACTATCTGAAATCGAAAGTCTTACATTTGCTCCATAGATCAGATGCGTGACTTCTCCTCCCTTTTCTCTCAAAAGCGTCTCATTTCTTGTGATCACCAAAGGATCGTCCGCCGCTTTCCGACTATGAAATACCCAATTGAAAGCATCTAAAGTTTTACTGGGTTTATAGATTTTCAGAAAATTAGTTAAACAAAAACCTCACGTAATTCTGAAGAAAGCGATGGAAAAAGTTCAAAGCTAATCAAAAATAATAAAAATTTTAACGAAATCATCAATATCCAAAATGATTTCCCTTAAAAAGCGATCCTGAACAAATGAATCACGTTCATTTGTTTAGAAAAAGCAATTCTTTTTTTCTTTTTCTTTATCAACAAAAGTTTCCATAATAAACGGAAATAAATTGGAGTGTTGGAGTGAATTTGGTTGAAAATGCATTAAATACTTGGTGAAAATGCTCTGAAAACGGTGCACATGGTGTGCTTTGTGCTCTGAAAACGTAAACGAACATTTCCTAGTGCATTCAATATTAGATTTTACACCAATTCAGTACTTTACTCTTTCAAAAGCTTTTGACTACCCAGAATACACTCAATTTTGGTTTAAACTTTCGATACTTCTAGTTATACCAGTTAAACGCTCACTAACGTTCGCTTTTTTCATTTTACAAGTTTACAAATATTCTTTGTGTGAATCTACTATATATAAAGCAGAAGAGACGTCCGTCCGTCCGTTTGTCCGTTTATCCGTCCATTTGTTCGTCCGTTTGTTCGTCCGTTTGTCCGTTTGTCCATCCGTTTGTCCGTCCGTTTGTCCGTTTATCCGTCCATTTGTCCGTCCATTTGTTCGTAATAAAATTCGTAATCAAACTAAAGAGAGCATCCTCTACTCCTTATTATTTAGGCCAATTATTTTTCTGCAAAATAAGCTTAAAACGGGTTTAAAATCTCTCAAGTCTGATTTTTTTAGGCTTTAAATACGACGGCGAAAAAGAACCTTACCAGGTTTGACAGTTTGAGCAAGACGAGCACGATTTTCAGCAAGCCTGATATCAGATTAAGTGTATGAAAATGGATAAGATAAAGCTTACCAAATGAAGTAGGCCGAGCGGTTTCGCTTGGGGCGGCCGCCATCCTTTTGCACGACTTTGGGCACTTCTTGGGAGCCGTTTTCTTTTGCTGGTCGAGCAATTTGATTTCTGAACTCACAAACTTAACCCTTAGTAGCGTGACAGTGTGCACAAACCGCTCGTTTGAGAATCTTGCTGCTTTAAATACGACGGCGAAAAAATAGGTGTTGACAAAACCCAAACATTTCAGCTCCAACTAGGTAGTCAAAATAGTTTTACTGAACGGTGAATTTAATGAATTTAATTGTGAAATGGTAAATGACAAAATAATTCTAGATAACCGACGAAAAAGCAAAGACAGGACTAAGAACAATCGATCATTGGGATGACGAGGCCTTGTAAGCTTCCATTTCCTTAGTGTAGCGCTCCTCGTAAGCTTCCATTTCCTTAGTGTAGCGCTCCTTGTCAGCTGCGGCTTGCTTTTCCCACTTTGAACGGTCCTTAAGGTTCGTCCATTCAGCGCCCGCAGCCTAAACAAAAGCATTTTGCCATAATAATGTAAAGCTCTAAACTCTACTTTTGCGAAGATTGAGCCAATATCAGAGTAACAATTCCAAGCCATAAAAAGTACCGTTTTTTTTTTGTTTAAATGTCTTTTTGCCGCCATACCAAAAGTTCTAAGCGCCATGGTTTCATTTTAAATTTGCTGATACATACAAAATCAGAATTCCAAAAGACGACATACCTTGGTGACATCATAGGCCCTCATTCCAGGTTTAAAAACAAAGCGACTACGGTTCTCCGCGAGCCAAAACAAGTAGGCAGAACGGCCACGCTCGGGTGCGTTCTCGTCCTTCTTCTTTTCCGTTGCCTTGGTGGTCTGCACTGGCGATTGTTTCTTGGAAGGAGCCATCTGAACAAAAAATGTTAAGAATGTTTCAAAAGAACAAATTCGAATTTGAAAAAGAAAAATAGTAAAAAGGGCAACAAGACATGTTACTCAGACAAAGCATGAAACTATCGGGACTATAAGCTAGGTAACTTATGTTGCAGACAGTTGACATAATTCTTAGCAGTTGACTCAAGTTAAGCAGACTTAAGCAGTTTGGGTTTATATGCCTGCAACAAGATGTGCCCGAGGCGCACTGAACAACGCACTATATGCGAAAGGAACGTAAAATAAGTCGCAGCGCAAAAATCGACCCAAACAACGCCGAATGGAGCGAAAATGAAAATCGAAGAAAAAATTTGCCGCAAAAAGCAAGCCTTTAAAAAAGATATTCAATTGAAAAATTTTTTAAATTTAAAATTTGGTAAACGATGAGTTAGCTAAATATCTTTAATCGATCGACATTAAACAAAGTCTGGCTACAATAGGGACCATATGTAGGACTACTGTAGCCAGACTACAGTACTCCGACAGTATTCTAGACTCGATCGTAGCCGTAGTTTTCACCTTTTTCCGCACAGACCGACAACAAAAAGTGCTCAAGTGTGGCTGCTTTTAAAGCGATGGAAAAAAGCAAAGCTAATATGTAAATAGAGATATTCAGCTAATAATTAGCTGATAATTAGCTAATATTTAGCTGATATTCAGCTAGATTTATCGATTCGTAAGCCCAAAACATACCCTCGAGTCTGTCGACCTCCTTCTGGAGCTTCTGGACAGAGCGCTCGGCGAACTCGGCGCGAGACTCAGCCTGGAACAATTCTTTCATCAATTTCATTCAAATACTTTTTTCTAACACAGTACGAGACACGACGAAGTGACGACAATTTTACAATTTCATTCAGTTCCATTCAGTTCCATTCAGTGTTGAGTTGAAGCTATGGATACTAGAGCTGTAGACCTATAGCCGTCAGTACTCAGCCTATGTCCTGTACTTATAGCTGAGTGCTGTAGGGTACAGGTTTGCTATAATGAAGCGCTGTCGCCCAAACCATAACCTATAGCCGGCAGTACTCAGGAAGATCTATGCACATAGCGGAGTACTGTAGCTGAAGCTATGACCTATCGCCTACAGTACTCAAGAGTAGTCATGAACATCGTAATGTCCTGTGGCTGAAGCTATAATCTGTAGCCTACAGTACTCAGCCATAGCTAGGTGCATAGTAGAGTACTGTGGCTAGAGCTATGTCCTATAATCTAGAGTACTCAGGAAGGACTATGCACATAGTGAAGTACTGCAGCTAAAGCTGTGACCTATAGCCTAAAGTACTCAGCTACAAGTACAGTAATCATCCATAGCTATGTGCACGGTGAAGCTTTGTACAGAGTTTACCTAGTACAGAGTTTACGTAGTACGATGTACAGGCTACTGTACTATGTACGTAGTACCACGTACGCGCTACCGTACTATGTACGTAGTACCATGTACACGCTACTGTACTATGTACGTAGTACCATGTACGCGCTACTGTACTATGTACTAGTAATGTCACGCTACTCTGCCCTTTCCACTGCTTCAAAACAACACGATTTACGGACGAATTTCATTTCATACGTCACCCATCCACTCAACAGATGTTAAAACAAAATCTCGATCGTTATTGAATCGAAAATCAGCTGCAGATGGACTGTAAACTGAGTTCAAAGCTTGATAAAACACAGAAATCATGAATTCGACTTGCTAGAAATAGCTACAAATAGCTTTCATTCATAAAATTTGCCATAAAAATTTAGATAAAATCGAGTAGAACCTCCTTGAGACGAGAGCTGAGTGCACGGATTTGCTCCTCGTAAGAATCCTCTCGTTGAAGGGCTTTCTCCTCGGAAACTTCCAGGGATTTCAGATTGTTTCCGACCACTCGCAACTCCTCTTCCAGCTCGACGATCTTGCTGAAAAATGGACAACATTGAGCATGCTAGTTTTTGATTTTTCGACAAATACCTGACAATATTTTTGACAATTTCACATGCTTATTGTTAGCTAGTTTTTGAGGAAAACTTGAAAAGAAATGGATTAGAAAACGATCTATGAACTATGAACTATGTATCTATAAACTTGTACTCTTGGACTTCAAAAGATAGCCAGCAAGAAGCAGAGCAAGATTGACGACAAGATCGCCTTATATAGGCTTATCGGTAGGGAAATGGCCTTAGATACAGGTATTACTTGACGACAAGATCGCCTTATATTCCCAGACTGCTTGACGGCATGATGACCTTATATACGCCTATGGATAAGCGGGGAAATGGCCTTATATTGGCACATTACTTGATGGCAAGATGACCTTATATACGCTGGTAAGATGGCCTTATATACGCTGGTAAGATGCCCTATATTATGGCTAAGCGGGGAAATGACCTTATATACCAAACAGCCGAGAACTTTTTAAACTAACTGAAACAAATTTGTTGCTGAGAACTTGAGTCTACTAGTGCCGCAATGCCCAGTCATAGCACGACAAGGCCTTTTCGGATTACTGTACTATTGATAACGTTTTATAGCTCAACCACAGCCACTTCTGTGTACAACAGTAAAACCAAAACCAGTACAAGGGTACAAACACAACAGCTTCCCTTCACTGTACTGTACTGTAATGTAATGTACTGTACAATGCCACTGTACTGAGCGAGCTTCACTGGACTCCAATGAACTCCACTGGACTCCACTGGACTCCACTGGACTCCACTGGGCTTCAAAGGACTCCAATGTACTCCAATGAACTCCAATGAACTCCACTGGACTCCACTGGACTCTAATGAACTTCAATATGCTTCACTGGACTCCACTGTACTCCACTAGACTCCACTGGACTCCACTGGACTCCACTGGGCTTCAAAGGACTCCAATGTACTCCAATGAGCTCCAATGTACTCCACTGGACTCCACTGGGATTCAAAGGACTCCACTGGGCTTCAAAGGACTCCAATGTACTCCACTGTACTCCAATGGACTCCACTGGGCTTCACTGTACTCCATTGTACTCCACTGGACTCTAATGAACTTCAATATGCTTCACTGGACTCCACTGTACTCCACTAGACTCCATTGTACTCGAATGTGTTTCACTAGACTCCACTGTACTCCACTGTACTATGACGATCGTTCATTCACCCGAACCTCTTTCAATCTTTTCGAGACGAAATCACAATGTCTATTCATTGCTTCCTCAATTTCCTGAGATTTCTCGTCATTTCCTTCACGGGTTTTCAACGTGGTGCACAGCGCTCGAATGTCTTTTTCCAGATCTTCCGAGCGTCTGCGATAAGATTTTTCATTAATTTTACATCTATCATCTATCATCATCTTTTCCTTTCATCAGTTTTACTTTCATTACTTTCATTAGTTTTACATCTATCATCATCGTTTCCTTAGTACACATAGAGTTATTCAACTAAAAACCAAAAAATCGACAAAGATTAGTGCTGAGAAACGAGTTAGATTGATGAATTCGACATTGAGAAGAACGAGCAGAACAAGAAGATTCGACAACCAGGACAAATATTTGATAATGGATTATCTAGATTAGAGGTATCTGATCTAGATCTATCTATAGCTGATCTGATCTAGCTCCATCTATAGCTAGGCCTAACTAGATCCATCTACAGCTGATCTAATCTGGATCCATCTACAGCTGATCTAATCTAGATCCATCTATAGCCAGATCTGATCTAGATCCATCTATAGTTAGCTCTAATCTAGATCTCTCCATTTCCCGTCAATGACCTCCTTGAGTTTCTCCTCGATTTGGACGATATTCTCTTGGAAGATCTGCTCTTTCTCCAAAGCTCTTTCTTCGTTCATCTCCAACGATTTCAAGTTGTTGCCCACCACTCGCAACTCCTCCTCCAACTCGATGATCTTGCTGCAGTCAGGTTTTGCATGTTTTCAATGTCTTGGTCTAGGTTCTACCCTATCCTTTAGGGTTACTCTAGCAAGGCTTGGTGTAACTAGGAAGGCCAACTTCATAGAGTGCCCAAGTCCCTCTAGCTTCTATAGATACAAAACCTACGGTATCTATATACGGTTGACTTTTCTATATCCGCCAAATCTACCGGAATAACTCTGGATTCTGTAGTTAGGCTCTAAGCCCAGTATAGAGAAGCCGGATCCTGTAGCTGGGCTCTAGACACAGTATAGAGCTGCTGGATCCTGTAACTAGGCTCTAGGCTCAGGATAGAGGAGCCGGATCCTGTAACTAGGCTCTAGGCTCAGTACATAGCTGCTGGGTCCTGTAGCTGGGCTCTAGACACAGTATAGAGCTACTGGATCCTGTAGCTGGATCCTGTAGCTATTGGATCCTGTAACGATTGTTCCGAGAACAAAACGATTGTTCCGAGAACAAAACGATTGTTCCGAGAACAAAACGATTGTTCTGAGCAGAAACGATTGTTCCGAGCAGAAACGATTGTCCCGAGAACAAAACGATTGTTCTGAGCAGAAACGATTGTTCTGAGCAGAAACGATTGTTCTGAGCAGAAACGATTGTTCTGAGCAGAAACGATTGTTCTGAGCAGAAACGATTGTTCTGAGCAGAAACGATTGTTCTGAGCAGAAACGATTGTTCTGAGCAGAAACGATTGTTCTGAGCAGAAACGATTGTTCTGAGCAGAAACGATTGTTCTGAGCAGAAACGATTGTTCTGAGCAGAAACGATTGTTCTGAGCAGAAACGATTGTTCGGAGCAGAAACGATTGTTCTGAGCAGAAACGATTGTTCCGAGCAGAAACGATTGTTCCGAGAACAAAACGATTGTTCTGAGCAGAAACGATTGTTCTGAGCAGAAACGATTGTTCTGAGCAGAAACGATTGTTCTGAGCAGAAACGATTGTTCTGAGCAGAAACGATTGTTCCGAGCTCTAATCAAGAGAAAAAACGGGTAAAGAAAGGTTACTATAAAATATCATTTGATAAAAAAGTAAAAAGATCCTGTTGCGAGTGGGGTTCGAACCCACGCGGACTCGCG